CAGGGAAAAAGTAAGACAGGTAGACAGAAAAAAAAGAGGCGGCCCTCCGTCCATGTGATGTGCAAAAACAAAAATGTTTTGTCCGTGTAGAGAGAAATACATGTTGTGTTCTCTTTAAGATCTACCTCATAATTTACTACACTACATAATTTAAAAAACATTCTTCATCTCAAATGTTGTGATCTTTCTTTCAATGGTGTCCGGGATTCACAGCCACTCAAAAAGATGGAAAGGACAAGGGATTTGTAAACACATAGGTTGATTTCGATTTGGAATAGTTTAAAGACATGGACACATTCAGCTCAACAGACAAACATTAAAAAAGAACAAGATAACATGTACACAGATCTCAAACACTGACCAGAGTAACAAGATACATGTAACAAAAAGGTTACTTTCTTACCTCCCTTTGACACAAAGACAGGAGGATGACAGGAAAAGTCAATCATCCACCAGACTAACAGGTACTTAATTACAATAGTCAAGTTGTTTTTTTTTTAGTAGAGGTTTTACGGCGCTCGCAACAGCAAAAGGTCATATGAGCGCCAGGAGATTAGAGGTGTTACAAGAGAGTAACAAACATAAGAAAGAAGAAGGGGAGAAAAGGACGATAGATGTTTGATAAGAAAGAAGAAGCAAACCACACCAGAGCACCCGCCAACCACCCACAATAGTCAAGTAATTCATCCACAGTAGATCTACTAAAGGACATTTTTCAAAAGCCATCTTTTAGAAATGCAGTGACAGCAACTATGGCTGCTTTCTTCACCTTGGTATGACCCAATGGAAGTTATATAGACCGAAAGGAATAACAATGTTGATAATAATAATAATAAATATAAAATAGCATTTATGCTGAGCATTTCCATTTTTAAAAAAAAGCTCTCTCCCTACCATAAAATATCTGTACTCATGTGCTCGAACTATGGTTAATCATTCAAATTCACATTTCATTAACACCTTTTTAAAGGTTTAAAGACAGAGTGACTTAATGCTCATTGGATTTTCACAGAATTTTTTTTTTCAGTTAGTTTTAGTACAGGTTATACGGCGCTCGCAACTGCATAAGGTCATATGAGCGCCAGAAGATTAGAGGTGTTACAAGAGAGTAACAAACACAAAAAAAGAAGGAGGGGAGATAAGGACGATAGATGTTTGATAGGAAAGAAGAAGCAAACCACACCAGAGCACCCGCCAACCACCCACTTGGTTTAGTTTTTACTTCTTGGTTTTAGTTACAATAATTGTAATAATAAAATGTAACAACAACGACATGAATAACAACAATAATAATAATGATGATGATAATTGCATTTATACAGCCCATAGACGAAGAGGTCCACTGAGTAGACACACAAGCACACACAGGCGCACGTACCTTCCTGAAGAGATCAACCAAACTCTCTCTCTCTCCCTCCCTCCCTCCCTCCCTCCCTCCCTCTCTC